AATCTTAGTGTGCCCATAAAAAGATTCCAATGCATGTTATTAGACCTAACATGTTCTAGAGTCAATTTTTTGTGAATTTCAATTGCTATTTGTTTCTTAGCAATTTGTGACCATCATATATATATATATATATATACGTGTGTGTGTGTGCAGGATACATATTTTCATCATCATCCAACACCATACAAACATCTACATATGTTATATCCAATCAACATACATCTACAATTTTCATAGTTCATATGACATGCAATAAAACTCATACATCTACTCCTGTTCATAATACAACATTCCAAAAACACACCATCCATCCAAGCATCTTGTGCCTAGGCCAACATACCTCTTGTCCGATGCCATCGAGGTAGGGAACTCTACCTCACTCACATCCGACACCATCCAAACCATGTTTTACATGATTAAGGTGGAGACCCCTTGGGATGTCATGCTTGGCGTGACAAAACCAAAAACCTTCAAGATGCAACATTATGTATGATTGATCACTAAAATTTAGCTCAATACTCAAAACACCAAAAACCCTTTTCTTTCACCATTCAATCTAATTTTAGTCACATACATGCTCACATTTGATGAAAACAACAACACAATTCATCAAATCAACCAAACAATTTGTCATAACTTCCTTTACCTCAAATCTCAAGCACAAAAAATGAATAAATAAGGAAGAGGAAGAAAAGAAGGAATTTAAGCTCTCCAAAGAACCCAACACAACTTTAAATAAAATCGGGTAAATTCAAGTTGTTGAACCTGAATTAAAACACATAAGAAGAGACAAGACGCCTCAGAGAAAAGATTCACCAATCAAGAGAAGATTTAGAGAAAAAGAAAGACTCGAAGAACCAAAGCTCCTTTTTCTAAATTATCTCTAAAATTCTTTATAGCTAAATTTATAGAATTCAATTATTAAAAAAAACTTAATATATGAGTTTTCTCCGAGATCAGCTGAACTTATGGTTAAAGAATCTTACAATTCACCGGGTTCAACCTAGGTACACAATGTTATGACTTATTTTTATATATTTTTTTTATTTATATTTAATTTTAAGCCAAATTAAATTAATTTAATTCAATTTTAAGTAAAATTAAAATTATTAATTCAATCACAGTACAACACGATAAACGATAATATATCTTTTACGATAGTATATTTTAAAAAAATATTTCAATTTTTAAATTAATATTTATTACCTACTATTACTTTAACTTTTTGAGTTTTTAACCTTTTTGCTTTTTATCTTTTACTGTGTTCCCAATTTCTTTCTCTCAAAAGCTTTCTTTAACTTTCGTTTATCTACTACGGCTTTTTGACCAAAGTAGGGTTCTTTTAAAACTTTATTACGTAAATGGGGCTGTTTTTGAAGTATTTATACCTTTGGGGTTGTTTATAACGATGTCGCTATAGCCCATAGCGACACCGGTGACACGTGGCATTTTTTTCACTTCAGGGAAGCCATGAAAGCCATATAGATAAAGTCGCTACAGGCCATAGTGCCACTAAACGGCTTAAATAAAGTCGTTATAGCCCATAGTGCCACCAAACGGCTTAAAAATAAATAAATTCAAATGTAAAAAACAAATTAAGTTAATAATTTAAATAAAAAAAATTAGTGGCGCTATGGCCTATAGCGACACAGTGTCGCTATAGGCCATAACGCTACTTTTATAAATATTTAAATAGATAAAAAAGAAAAAAA